GATACCCCACAGGACAACTCATACCCTTGGAATCAGGATATCCTTTATCTTGGCAACCAGTGGGGCCCCCAGCATTCTTACCATAAACATCACCCTCAGACCTTAGAGGGGCATGAAGCGAATGTCTGGGCACGTGGATGCCCATTCCACACTGGTTCCATTCCAATTTCTATACCATAAGCCTGAAGAAGAGGTCTCAATGGCATCTTGTTATAGTTCTAAGAGTGCCTTGGACTCATCATTTGAAATACCATGGGCAACCCAACCCCTGTATTCTCCTAGTGAAGACCTCTATCTCTACAGAGAACAAATGCTGAGTATAGCAAAAGCCTTTGAAATTGTTATTTCCATTTTAGATAAACCTCCGAAAGACAAGGTTTTGAGTTGTCTCTATTGCGACAGGAATAGTTGCATTTCCGATCCTGGAAGGTCTTTCTGACCTCACAGTTCCAGTTTGGTGGAAACCAGACTCCTTTCAGGCCAGACCTCATAGGATTGAAAAATTATACAGAGTAAAGCAGGACTCCTGTGAGTTTCTGTCCAGACACCCACCACTATCTTCATTAGTTATGGAAGACATGCATGGCCTGGCCAGCATTCATCCCCAGCCGATGGAAAGCTGCTGTCTAGATGTTTTGGGAAGAAACTTTTATGCTTCCTCCTGTCTCAATTTTTGAGCAGCAAATTTGGTGATTATGGGAGGCTACCAACTTTTCCTCTGGGAGAGTCTTTCCAAGTTGCCTGATAAATTCAATTCCTCTTTTCTTTCTACCTTCAACTTTTCATAGCATTCTTGTATTTTCCAGTGTCTTTTGTCTTCTCATAATGTAACCACAGTATGATAGCCTCAGTTTGGTCATTTTAGCTTCTAGGGAGAGTTCAGGCTTGATTTGTACTAGAACCCATTTATTTGCCATTTTGAGAGTCTATGATATCCCTACAACTCTCCTCCAACACCACATTTCAAATGAAGTAACTTTCTTCCTGTCACCATTCTTCATTGTCCAACTTTCACACCCATACATCTGCTTGTTATTTATTTGGGCCAGCATTTTGACTCAGACCTCGTTGCATAGAAAACATGTAGTCAGTGTAGACTTTTATGTTGGATGAAGGAAGTGGCTTGTTTCGGAAGGGGGAGGAAGACAAGATTGCTTTTATGAACTTTGCTCCATTCCCAGTTCACAGGACAGAAGCCATTATTATTATTTTTTAACAGGCAAGGGATTCTTTGATATCCTGTTCTACAGGTAGCGTTTGCATCATAGCCTGTGTGGCCAGGAGTCCATCAGTGACACCAGTATCAGCAGACCTTCTTTTCTTGTTGAATTCAAAATAGAGGCTTTTGCAAAGAGGGCTCCTCCCCTTAGTATGCTCCTTAGCTTTCTTGTCCATGAGCTGCCAAGGTACAGTCAAAAGGCTTTCTAATTTCCTCTCCATTGTGAACAGCTACAATGGGCTCTTTCAACTGTATCTATTTGTTTGCTTATTCACTACCAGCAGTTTTTGCTTATGCACCTTAGCTGCTCATTCCTGTTTGCTTCTGACTTACTCATGCATAGGAGTGAGGCACATAACAAGTGCTGGCCTCTGCCAAAGCTACTGTTGCTGTCCACGCAGGAAGAGATTGATGCTTGAGTTTTGGCCTGTGTGGCCATGAGTCAGTAGGCGAAGCCAGTGTGGCTTGCCCTTTGTCTCTTGTTCAGCTTGAACTATGGACATTGTGAAAGATTAAGAAGATGTTTTGCAAGAAAGAATGTCCACTGTGTATTTGGAGATAACATGTGCTGTTGCAGTAGTACACAGGGTGAAGTTAGCTTAGAAAATGTCATTCTGTGCTGTATCCAAATCTTATCTGTTCTTTTCAGATGTATTGCCAGTAGGTTACCAAGTTGGCATTTTAGTCTAAGGATAAAAGCAGACTCTGAGCACCTAAGAGAATCCAAAATACAAAAGAACAAAAAAGGATGTTTGGTAAAGGTAGCATATAGACTTGAAGTTTACAGGTACCATCTAAAACTAATGTCATTAGGACAACTTTTTGAAGTGTCATCTCAAATGTGCATCATTGAGTGAGTGAAACAAGCATCATCTATACACATTAAGTAGCTGTGTCTATAGATGAAAACCTTGAATGAAATAATAAAACATACTGTATCTATAATACAGAATAATAAAACATTCTGTCCAAACACTTCTTTGAGGTTTAGTTTATTAAATACAGCATCTCCTAGTTCTATACAATGCATGCATCTTGATTTGATTTGAATGGAAAATTTGTGCAGGTTGAAATCAATGAGGGGAGTCCAGCTACAGTAGTTCTCGCCTGCTTCTAAGTTGTTAGAAATAATAGGAGTGTGGAAGATCATAAAACAATGGGGAAAATGTGAGCCTGAAGATAGAATAGTTTGTGCTGTTGGTGATTTGGGGCCTTTCAAACCATTCTGCTAGGTGATTATGTCCATATATACAGAATAAACTTTCCTTCCATTATTCCTGTTAGAAACTTCACATATGTTTATCTTGAGACTATTTTTTTCTTTGTTTTATGTATCCATAACCTTGGATAATAATCTCCACTGTCATTATTTCAAACAGCTCTACTCAGAATTAGTGAATGCTGTACACAGCATTTGTGTGACATATGAACAAACTCATAATTGCTTTTTGAAAAGCCATATTGCATCCATATATCAGAAACCCTGTTTTTATTGCAGGTACTATCCTGGTAGACAACATGTTGATCAAAGGTACAGCAAGAGGACCTGATCCCACTATTGAGCTCACATTAAAGGACAATGTAGACTACTGGGTTATCTTAGACCCTATCAACCAGAGGCTTTACCTAAACAGTACTGGACGAATTCTGGACAGAGACGTAAGTTTGTTTTTTAAAAAATATATTTTATTGATTTTCAGTCAGTACATTCATAAACAGTAGTGCAGATAAAACTTCAAAAGGGATCCAAAACATCAAAATTTGTGACATCATCATAAATATAAAAACATGGATATACAATTAAAAGGTGCAAGCGTAGTTAGTAAGTGAGATTGTAAGTGAAGACTGTGTGTAGTATGATGGTAAGTATGGTATTCAGGGTCTAAATATGGAATAGGGAGTTCACATCCAGGCACTGTATAAATTAAGCTAAGAAAAAGAAAAAGAATGGTTTTGCAGAGACTATGTTCAGAATGTAGTAGAGTGAGATAAATTGGAGACAGAGACATAAGTTTGATAACACCTCCCCCTCTTTCATTTGGATTAAAGTTGAGTTTATGCAAATTATCAGTAACTGCATATCTAATAAATGAGTGGCAGACAGTAAAGATTCAGACCAAGGATACAAAATATCATTGCTATGTTTTATAGTATTTTGTCATATTTTATACATAATATTGGTAAAATATTGTTAACATGAATTTCAATATGTGTTTTAAATTGAAGCATGGCATTTCCTGCTGGAGGCCATTTCCTCGGTTCAGGAATCCATGAACACAACTGAGAGTTGAACACCTGTTCTGACAGCAGCTACAGAGAGAAGGCAATACAGATCAGCATAGGTTTTGGATAGGCTTCCACACTACTGAATGCTGTCCCTGTACTTGTACTACAGCAGATCAGCATACAGAGATCCATTTTTATACATGGATGGCTATGAATTCATTAGGTAGAATGTACTTAGAAATGTAGAAAGCATGTATTTTGTCATAATTAATCATATTGGTGCAAAATATGTGTATTCTACTTGAATATATCCATACTTGAATACAAAATGCCAGTCGGGAAGCATGTTTTCTCTTTCCATAGGATAACAACAAATAAAATTAAAGGCCTTTTGCAGAAGCATCTTGTAAAGTCAGGAACTTGTAAATTACTTCATACAATGAATACCATGCATCAATGATCTTCAGTGTTTTCAGACTTGGAACTCGTTTTTAATCTCCAGAAGGCAACATAGGACCCATTGAGCTGCATATACATGAAGGAAGTTACGTGGTGTCACAATCTCATGACTTGACAAAGGAGACCCTGAGTTATAAACTCGCTAGTTATAAACTCAAGGCCAAGCCTGTGGGCAGCAAACCAAGGGCACCAAGGACAGGAAATAAGACAAACTATAAAAGAAGAAGAGATTGGATTTATACCCCGCCCTTCACTTGGAGTCTCAGAGCGGCTTACAAACTCCTTTCCCTTCCCCTCCCCACAACAGACACCCTGTGAGGTGGGTGGGGCTGAGAGAACTCTGACACAAACTGCTCTTTCAGGAACAGCTATGCCAGAGCTTGTGACTGACCCAAGGTCACATCAGCAGGTGCAAGTGGAGGAGTGGGGAATCAAACCCGGTTCTTCCAGATTAGAGTCCGCACACTTAACCACTACACCGAAACAAGCCAAGGGCCAGAGCTGTAAAGGAATTCTCTCTGTCACCTCCCTTCACTGTCCTGCAGCTCCTCTCATCATGTGTACAGAGAGAGGAAGGAGGCATGGAACACTTGCTCCTTAGGCATTATGAGTAGGTCATTTAGGGTTGCCAGCCTCCAGGTGGCACCTGGAGATCTTCCTCTATTAGAATGAATCTCCAGGCAATAGAGATCAGTTTCCCTGGAGAAAATGGCTGTTTTGGAGGGTGGACTCTATGGCATTATACTTTGCCAAGGTCCATCCCCTCCCCAAACCCTGCCCAGGCTCCATCTCCCAGATCTCCAGGTAGTTCCCAACCAAGGGCTGACTACGCTAAGGTCCTTCCGAAAAGCAGCAGGGGGGAAAATGATAGTCTTGTAAGTGTTCATGATCCAGCAGGTGGGATTTTGTCCATCCATAGGTGTAAACTACTGCTGTAGATTGTCAACAACCTGAATACTGTTTTCCCTGCCCTTCAAGTCTGCACAATCCATGATACACATACTCAGAGCTCTCCAAACCTATAATGAGTAGCAGGCTTTTATAATGAAATTGGTATTATCTAGCTATATTTTTTTCCACAGGAAACAATACAAAGCAGGATTCTTAACATCAGGGATTATTTTTCTATCCCTCTTGTAGCTCCTGCTCTACTTTCTCCTCCATCTTTCTATTCCCCTTCAGTATCAATGGGCCTAATCTGCCCAGCAACTGACTACAGTCTCTCTAAAGGATCACACTTCTGAAGTTCAGCAATGAAATAATTTTCAAAACAGCTATTAAAACACAACACCAAGCTATTGTAATGCTTTAAGTTGTTCCTGGAAAAAGCCCAAATTAAATCACAGTGTCCTTGTTGTAGTTGGAATAGATGTAAGTATGGCTGTTGCAGGCCTTGGATGGCGTTTGTTGTGGGCTTCTATTGAATGATGCCTATAACATCATCAGTGGTGGCAAGTAACACACTCCACATACCTTGCTATGTCCAAAGTGATTTTTTCCCCTTTAAAAGAATGATGCAATGAAGAGTATGTGTATATTAATTTGCCTGTATCAGCACTTTAAATACTAGCTACAGCAATAGCCCATTTTTAAGAACATTTTTTTAACTCTTTTTTTTAAAAAACAAAACAAAACCATTCTCTTAGTACCTCAAAAGATAAGCTGCTGGCATTTTGGTCTAGCCAATTTTACCCCCCTCTGTTCTCTTGAATTGGGAAGCTGGAGTGAGCAGACATTACCCCCACAGGCAGGCTGCCGCCTCTTCACCCATTATGTTTCTACAGTTATCAAGTTAAGTGCTAAGGCAGACGTTCTCATTTCTCTACAGAAATGATTGTCGGTGTACACAGCAATTAATTGTCTTCCTCATTTAGCAAAATATTCCCATTCTTTTTCATGTCCCGTTTTCCCTCAAACTCACAAAAGAAACAGTCTTCCTGAATAATGCTATACTGCGAATTGATGTATGACCGTTTTTGAACAGATTTCTCTGGGGAGATTAGATTAGACAGACAGACAGAGTAGCAAATACATGTGATTTAATTAGCTGACAGTATAGCCCAGTATAGCCCATGCCATTGGATTATTTGTTAAAGCAGCTATAATTCAAATGGACACTCCATAGGCAATATGCCTGCTAAATAAGGCAAGAGGGCTTCTTCCCTCTGGCCAAGCCTGGAGCTTTTTTCCCCTAATGCCACTCACTTTCTTCATTTCTTATGCTTTCTTCAGCTTTTGGGGCTTCAGGGCATAGAACACATTCTTGAGTGTATCTGATCTAGTGACGCCCTGAAGCATCTAAGTTTTGCAGTTAATAGCCAGCTACCAGGTCCTTTCTTTTATTAACTTGTTTTTGAAAGAACCTTGTTGAAGGCTTTTAAAAGGGGATGGATTTATTCAATGTTACCTATTTTTATTTCAAAAAACAATAAGTACATTTCTGTTGGATTTCAGTGATTTGAGATTCTACAAGAATAAGAAGGCAAACATGTCCCCTAAGCTTAAAGAAGCACTTGGCCAGGATTAAATGAAGCAGAATTAGGAAATCATACCCCCCCCCCCCGAATTTTTGGTCACCATGGCTTTTTCCAGACTGCAGCGGCCTTTTCCATTTTTGCACATGCTGTGTTGCTTCTGCTGATTTGGCTATCAGTGGGATCAGTTCAGACTTCCCCTCATGGGTTCCATAGGTTCTGTTTGTGTGTGTGCGTGTGTGTTTTGCACATGTGCTGAAGTGTTTGAACATTTTAGCAGCCTATTTCATGCCTCCTATCTTCCTTACACAAGAGTAGTCCATTTACTCTTGTGTAAAAACAGTCAGAGAGACCAGACTAGAGACACACACACACACACACACACACACACGTCAGAGCAAAGAGGAAGGTGCCCCTAATGGGAATGACTTGTTTCAACAGGGAGCCTTCCATCATTGAAATGTTACTCTGCTGGAATGCAATTAAACAAACAAACAAACAACCACCCTTTTTGATGGCGGGTTGTGCAGGAAGTCACCAATGCAAAAAATTTAGTTCAGATTACAAGCAGATGCTTTGTTGCAAATGCATTTTGCTTTTTTTAAAAAAGTGTGGGAGAAACCAGTTTTATTAGGAACTGGGGGAAAACAGAGAAGATATGAGGCGGGGGTGGATGTTTACAAAGTTGTCTGAACACAAGAAATAAAGATGCTAACATTGGGTAATGCATGTAATTGTATACCACCAAACAGAGTAATTTCAGAGTCAGGCTAATTTATCCTTAGGCAAGTAGTAGGAAGCTGAGGGTAAGAATAAACAGATAGTCTTCCCAACAAAGAATGGTAAGTTCAGGGATCTCTGAAGATCTGTTTTCAGGACAGTACTAGTTGACAGTTGAATCAAAAGACTTTTTTGTCATCTTAGAGGTGGGAAAAATAAAAATTGAAATTAGAAAATATTTTGAAGTGAAGAAAGAAGAGTATATTGTTGCCCTAAGAGGTGGTCTCCTATTTAATTGAGGGAAATTAGCTTAAGGAGACAGAATGAGAGGGGGTAACGGGGATTTCCACCGATGTTTACAGGGATTTTTCCCTTAAAAAGTCTCAGAATAAGCCAGTCAGATGTCAAACTGAAACAGGTTTTATTGAAATAAACAGAGACAAAACACACACATACAAATGCAGGGAGGAAGTGGGGAAAAGTAATTCCAGGGAGGCAATCGTTACCAATCCTGGACAGTGAGGTCCATGGAGGCAGCAGTGAAACAACCAGTATTTCATGGAGCAAAGGAACAGGAAGTCCATACACAATTGGGTGTATGAGGTTAACGTCAAGAACACACACACTGCTATGGAGCAGTGTGCTTGCAATTATAGGAAAAATATTCCCCGGGGCAGTGTGATGTGCTTGCCCCAAAAACAGTGACCTAATTGCCTTTTCAGAGATGGCCAAGAATTAGGGTGAAATGATGGGTTTACCTGAGGTGAACTATAGGTGTTA